GTAATTTTAATCCAAAACAAATAAAATACTTTTAAAAAAGCTCTTCTGATCACACATCTACGGAATCATTGATATATGAAGAGAAATGACGAATGAAGAAAAAAAATGGCGAAATCAACTTACAGGTTTGAAAAATTTTCAGCGGTTTGGCATCGGCTTCCTTCGGCTGTGCGCAGAAATTAAAGTGGATGGCTTGTTGCTTACAGCCGGAAGGGAAAACTAAGGGTGCGATCTCCAGCCGAACGCTGCTCGCAGGAAAGATCTCCAGCCGACCGCTGCTCGCCTCAATCGCTTGGGAAGACCACAAATACGAATAGGAATATGAGATTAAGGAGAAGATGAAGTCTTGGGCATGAACTGGCTAATATGAAATAGCGGGATTAGAGTTATTTATTTATTTAATTATACAATAGCCGGACACGCGTGTCCGTTGTCCGTTTTATTTTTTTTAAACGGGACACACTAATGACGTGTCCGACACATGTCCTCGTCGTGTCGGACGCGTGTCCGTGTCGGACGCGTGTCCGTGTCCGACACGTGTCTGACACGTGTCTGACACGGCATACCCACTTAAAACGAAGTGTCGGTGCATCATAGCCTGCAATGCTTTATGGTGTAGAATGTTGGTCATTAAAAGAAAAGGATAATATTAAGTTAAGTGTTGCAGAGATGAGGATGCTCGTGTGGATGAGTGGCTTTACTCTTAGAGATAGGATACAAAATGAGCATATACTTGAAAAGATTGGAGTAGCTCCAGTGGAAGATAAGATTAGAGAGAGTCGCCTTAGATGGTTTGGTCACATAAACTGGCGGCCTTCTGATGACTCGGTTAGGAAAGTAGATGTATTAGATTTGACTTATGTTAAGAAAGGTAGAGGTAGACCTAAAAGAATTGGTTAGAAAATATTAGAAATGACATTTCTTTATTAGATTTAAATGAGAATTTAACTCTTAACATGACACAATGTAGAAAAAAGATTCATGTAGAGCCGACCCCAAATAGTGGGATATTGGCTTGATGTTGTTGTTGTTATTATTGTTTTTGTAAGAATTTCATTATGATAATTCTTTTTCTTAACAATCATTCAAATTGATATAAAAATATGTCTCATTTCATGTTTTTTTCCCCAAATTGTCTCTTTTTTTAAGCTTTGCCTCCATTTTAAGTTCACATAAGGTACTTATTTATTTATCATCCATAAAATTCTAATATTATTTTAGATTCCTTAATATAAGTTTGATCTTTCTACTGTTTGATTTTTTTTATTCTCTAATTTACATTGTAATTCATTTTCTTAACATTAACACATGAGAAATATTGTGAATACTAGACTTGCATGTGGGCAATGCTAGTCTGCAGTAATTTATGAGTCCTTTAAAAATTTGAAATAGTCTTATGTATCTGAGATTTAATTTGCCTCCTTAGCCAAATCTATCGATACCTTTCATGGGTTTAACTTTAAAAAATATAAAAATTGCAAACTTCATCCTCTAGCATTCTACATTTTTGGTCATAGTACTTTATGGTCATGTGCAACTTTTAGTTTACCTCCAATTTATTTGATTTTCTGTCTATTTTTTATCAACTAATTATGGACCCATCAACTATCTATCTTCAACTTCAAAGCAACTTAATAAAGTTTTGCACTTCGTGTTGCATAATGCTTCATAAAGTGCCATTTGTATTTTATATTGATAACTATTATTATAAATAAACTATAATATTGAATAATGATTTTCCCAACTAGCTATAAAATTTAAAACATATAATCTCAACAAATTTTTCAGCACTTAAATAGTGCTGTTTGATTGGCCATCACTTTGTATATAAAATGCAATATTTAGATGTAACTTTGTGCTAGAATTTTCATGAATAGTTTTTCATGATCCAGAAGTGAATCTTTCATTTTTGCCTTATTTAATAATCTTTTTGAGTGTTTTGTAATATGACAATCTCTTTTACATAATCTTGACTGTTTCTTAATTAAATCTATCTGTTTGATAAACAAAAAGTGATTGAAGTTAGTGAATTTGTTAATTATCACCCAAATCCAATCATTAACCAATATGGATATAGGAAATCTCATTATAAATTTGTTGCAATTTCTTTCAACTTTGATCATGTAATAAAGGATTCATGTCATGAGAATTTGACTCTTAACAGGGCACAACGGAGAAAAAAGATTCATATAGCCGACCACATGTAGTGGGATAAAAGCTTGATGTTGTTGTTGTTGTCTTCGATGTTTACCCTCTACAATTTGACAAGTCTCATAATTAAATACATACTTAGCAACATCCTTTTTCATATTAGGCCACCAAGTACTCCCTGAATGAATGGTTTATCCTGAGTGATGATTTTCTGTCAAATTTTCATCAAGTCATAATTAATGGGAACTCATTTATTTAGCTTATTCTTAACAACGCCCTTTTCATCAACTACAGTTTCTATCCGGATCTTTATAAATTCAAAAAAATATGGATTTGGATCACAAAAACAACAATATTCTCCTTCCCCGACCCAAAAATAAACTGCTGAAATTTGTCAAAATCAGCCCCCAACGGTCCCAAGACTTGCTCTGATTCCAATTTGATAGGAAACATTTGTAGATTTTAAGTATTTCCTATCTATCTTCAGAAAAACAACGATGAACTCTTCCAAATTCCAATGAAAATCAAGGAAAGCAGTAGATTTTATTGCATGAAATCAACTAACGGAAGAAAATAACAAGATACAAGTGATCCTCTATTCGAGAGGAGAATCGATATCTCCCAATCTCTAGACAAATCTAGAGCCCAAAATCTAAACCTAAGAGATCCCAAAATAAGCCAAATTCAAGATGCCCTAACCCTAGGAAAACAAAGTATTTAATGCATACAAATCTATGTTGCACTGATACACCTATTTATGAAGACGTGTTGTATCCGATACACAGATACATGGATACCCCTCCGATACGACATCGATACGTGTCAGATAAGGCTTTGCTGTATCCAATTAAAATACTATTAAATTTCAAAAGGACACGCATATCTGATGTAGACAAAAGGGGGGGTCAACACTAGTCCAAAATAAATCATATTTTGGCTTCCCTTGAGTCTACTAGCTCAATCCAATTGAGCTAGAATTTTAGCTCATTTATGAGCTAGGCTTTAGTTCATTTATTGAACTAGAGGTTAGCTCATTATTAGCTAGGATTTTTAGCTCATAGTTATCTTTATAATTAATGTAATTTTATGCTTTTTATGTTTGCTTTTATGTTTGTCTCTTGGAATTCCAAACCGGCCTTTGGAATTCCAAGATTTCTTTTTCTTTGGTGGCTCCTTAAATTCCACCATTGCTTTTTAGTTTTTTGTGAATGCCCCTTGGGATCTCACGGCTGGCTCCTTGTTCCGTGTCCGCCCTTCGGTTCCCGCGGCTGTGGCTCTTTGGTCCGTGCGGTTCCCTTCGTCTCCCGTGGCTGTCTCCTTGGTTCCTGGTTTGGGTGTAAACCGAGAGCTTTGGGGGGAGATTTCTATGCTTTTAATTATGTGTTAATTAAGTGTTTGTGTCCTTTTGTATTCCCCTTTCATACCTATAAATATGAGGGGTTATGTAATGTTTTGAATAGTGAATGAAATTTGATTTTTGGAAAAATCAGTTAACCTGCGGGTTGCTCGGAAATCCTACGGGGTCTTTCCAACCTTCTTTTCTCATCCCCTCCGGAAATCCTGCGGGCTCTTTCCACCCTTTCTTCTCGGGCTTCTAATCTCTTCGTCTCTCCTCAAGTGCCACTCCACCTGTATCCTTCTTCTCAAAGTGCAGCAACTTTAGGGTGTCTGTCGTGTTGTTTGTTAGTCGTCGTCATAGTTTTTTTTATTTGGTTGTTTTTTAAAATTTGAAATATAAGAGTTTGTTCTTCCCTTTAGTTTGTTCGTCTCTTTTCTAGTCTTTTCTCTATTTTCGTCGTTAGAAGTCCGTCGTGTCTTTTGTGGGCGAAGGGTATAGGCTCCCTATATCTTTTGTCCGCATCAATATCCGATATGCGTGTCCATTGAAAAACAAAAAAATCTGAAAAAAAGACCCGTCGTATTTACTTCCGCGGCTGCGAGCGAGGTTCTCTCATTTCCGAGATGGATTTGAGTCTTTTGATGATATGAGAATATTAGAAATTGCTAATCTTTCACTTGATTAGCCTAAATTATAAGCTATGATATTTATTGAAGATGATATAGAAGTTCAAAGACAAACCACTAAAGAAGCTAATCATATCATTCATTCTATTGAATAGTTGAAACTTCATGTGCTAAACAATTTATGTTTATGCTTTTCTTACTTTTATTTTTATATTATAAGCTACAAGGCTACAATGATGTTACTTTTTTTTTTTAAATTTAAAAATATTATGCTTTGATTGTTTTCTTAATTTTTATATATGATTTATAAATTTTTTTTTAAATTTAAAAATATTATGCTTTGATTGTTTTCTTAATTTTTATATATGATTTATAAATTATAATGCCGTGTCCGCGACGTACACGTATCCTATATTTTTAAGAATTGTCGTGTCCCGTATTCATATCCTGTCGTATCCGTGTCGGCGTATCCGTATCAATGCATCCTAGATACAAATCAAAAGGAAATCCCTAAACAATCCCTACATTCAAATTTTCCTCCCAAATCCCTCAAAAATCCTTCCTAAAATGCTTTGTTTGCTTCGTCGTTGCGTGTGGCTAAAGTAGGAGGCGGAGGCTTCCGCCTCGTTCGCGCCTAGGCCGGTCCCGCGTGGACCGGTCTAACAGTTTCCACCTAGCCCTTTGTGCTATATTTTAATTGGAAATGTGAACATGTGTTCTTGATATTTGACGGCATCTTATATATTTATCCAGGAGTCAAATGTAGACTCTACATCCACTATAGTAAATAACAATCTTTTATTACTTTATTTGTCTTGTTAGATATACGTTTTGTTGCTTTCTTATTATTTAAGTGTTTCTAATGTGCTGATGATTGCCTCTAGGCTGGAATTTCAAGAGTTGTTGTGGGAATTAGACATCCTCTAGGACATCTTCGAGGCAAGGCAATCAATTCATTCAGAAATGAAGGAATCCGAGTTGATGTTGTTGGGGAGGAGCTGCCTAGCAAGAAAATGGAGGTGATTGAATCTTCGAGTTAGAATATGTTGCACGTCAAGTAGAATTCTTTCTCTAATACGTAATAAACACTGCATGCATCTCTTTATCTGTATGTCTTATCCCTGCTTAAACGCCCTAGAGCTTTCTATGATCTACAATGTCTATTAAGAGATATTAGGTTTGTTATTCTTCAAATGAAGTACCATATTTTTGTTGCAAGCTCATTAACGTGATATTCATTTTGAGATAACTTTAACGTGTAACTTTTCAGTACGGTACATATAGAAACATGTTTCTTGAATGATACTCATAACTTTTTTTTTTTAAAATGAACCCAATGGCATCTTCTCATGTAATGTTAACTTTCGTCATCTTCTCAAAAAAAAAAAAAAAAAAAAAAAAAACTTTTGTCATCTTCTCATGATGTTGAGGTTCATGTTTTCAGAAGGCTTTGAAGTCCTGCATATTAGTAAATGCTCCACTACTTTACAGAGCTGCATTTCATGTTCCCTTCTCCGTACTCAAATATGCAATGACATTGGATGGTAAAATTCATTGTCGTTGATTCTCTTTATATAGAATATTGTCTCTGGATTCCATTTCTCATGTTTTGCGAACTTATCTGCTGCTTTGTGTGGGTGATGAATGGGAAAGACTAGTTGATCGACAGTGGCTTTCATTTTGAGATTACCAGGAAAAATTGCAGCAAGAAGTGGAGATGCCTCTTGGGTAAGCAGCAGGCTTTCTAGAGGCCGAGTTTTTGAACTAAGGGGCCGAAGTGATGCTATTGTTGTAGGAGGAAATACTGTTCGACAGGATGGTGCGTGAATTTGCTGATTTCTTTTTGTGCTGACTTTTAAATTTAGAATTTTATTTGATATTATGAACTTGATTCTAGTTACCTCGTGACAGATCCAAGACTGACTGCCAGGCATGGTGGGGGCCATGTACCTGCTCGCATAGTAATGTCAAAGAGTTTGAATCTTCCTGAAGAGGCGAACCTATGGAATACTCACGATGCATATACAATTATTGCTACACAAAGAGGAGCTCGAAAAGACATTCAGGAGAAGCTCGCTAAAAAAGGAGTTGAAGTGGTGGAATTTGACATGCTAAACCCTAGAGATGTTATGGAATATTGTTATAGTCGTGGTTGCTTGTCAATACTTTGGGAATGTGGTGGGGAACTTGCTGCACCAGCAATAAGCTCTGGTGTAATTCACAAGGTATAGTCTAATTGAGCTTCCATAGATACAAAATTCTATTTAACCCATCTTTTTGCTCGAACATCATGCAGTTTCATTTGTGGATAAGAAGCATAAATAATTTGTGGTTTCAACACCTACGGTGACTTCAAAAAATTATTGAATTGGATTGGCTGAGGATAAAGCAATAGACACCCTCCAAACAAAGGTATCCAATCACAACAAAATACACAAACACTACACAAACACTGACCTAGCTTAAGCTAGAATTAGTTGTCCTAATAAATCACCTAAAGTGTGTATTAAATTGTGTAGCTTTAATATGCCTTAGATTTATTTTTAATTAATATTGTCTATGATTTACATTTATTTATTTTGAGGTCCAAAGGATTTAATTCAAATTTAAGTTTTAATAATTTAATATATTTATTTTATTTTTACATGTTTTAATGGTTCAAATTATTTTTATTTTAAGTTTTAAAAAATCATGGTAATTAATGATTCTAAAGTAAGGTTTGAAATAACTAATCTGAAAGTCCTAAGGCTCATAATTGTAATGTATTTGTTCCTCTCTTAAGGGATAGAGCAATTTATTTATTTTGATTTATTTAATTAATTTAAATTAATATGGATTTATCATTTATATCAATTTATTTTTATTTAACAATCTCTAACTTTTTTTTTGTTATGATTTATTTATTTGATTTTGATTTGATTTATTTAAAAAATTATTTAATTTTTATGAACCTTTAATGGTGAGTTTGACTAAAGTTTGACTTTTTTTTTTAATAATTTTAGAAGTTTATTATTTTTGATAAATTCTACATTTTATTTAGAGTTGAATACAATTTAGTTGCATTTTTAAGATATTTATTTATTTATGATTTTTACAAGATCAGCCAATTATTGAATTTATTTAATTAAGATATTTAGGATAATTTTGATTTTTGCATCAAATCAAATCCAATAAATTTGAAATCATCACCAGAGTTTATGAATGATCCCCGATGATTATTAAAAGAGTTTGAAGTCATTGGTAATTATCCTTGATGGCTCAAAGTTAGCATGCAGCTTATTTCAATTTTAATTAGGCTATCCTGCAATTTTTGATGTGGTTTTATCAATTTTATAAACCTATAGGTTGACTTGATAGTGTTGAAGTTATGAAATTGCTCTCATAAATGTTATGAAATCAATCTTAATTTGTATCATAGTGCTTCTGTTATGAGGTGAGGTTTTGATTGAAGTGCTATGAAGAATACGTCAATCAGCAAAATGTGGCAATGAGATTTTTCGTCATTCTTTTATTAAAAGCCTTCTTCAAAGTGTGTTTTAGGAGCAAATCAAAGTGGCGCACTAGCTCTGTGCATTGCTTAAATGTGAAATGCAAGCTTACAACAAAGTGCGTGTATCGGGATGCTTCACTATATCATCTCAAAGCATTGAGCTCTTGGCTTTGACTAAAAATAAAATCCTAGTTTTGATTTCATGGTTTTGTTTATTATTTACCGCAACAACTAAGCACAAATGTTCACTTCTCATTATTTCTTGTAGTTATTGAGTTGTTGCTCATTGGTTATTTTTTCTTACCCGTTGGAGTTAGTTATGTTTTGATGATTTATCTCTTCACACTCTTTCACCCGTTAGTTTTCTTATACGTTGCGACTAGCACTAGTAGATTATTGCTCACAATTTTTTTCCATGGAATATTTCTCGATGCCTCATTTTCCGTTTTTCTCGCTTCACATTATCTTTATGCCTCTCAATCTCCGGTTGGTCAATCTCACAAGCACTCTTAATATTTAAATATCTTTTCATCATTTCGTTATTTTATCTTTTTCTTTTTCCGTATGATTGAAAATTATTGTTATTGAATGTATAGTTAAATTTCAAAATAGTCCCCCAACTATTTGTAGATGGCCATTTTAGACCCCAAGTATAATGTTGTCCAAGTTTAGTCCCTTGACTATACAAAATTGATCCAAAATGATCCATTTGGAACTAAATTGAGATCAATTTTGTAAAGTATAGAGACTAAATTATGATTAGTTTTATATCACAATTTTAACATGAGAGATTATTTTGGATCTTGTTTGTATAGATCTGGGTCTAAATTGGGGTGACATCATACTCTTTGACTAAATTGATCATACACGAATAGCTGGGGTCTAGTTTTGAATTTTTTGAATTATATTTACTAAAAAAATATTATCTAATGTGTTTAAGTTTGGCTAAATAAATAGCTATTTTATTATATTATGCCTGCATATATGGTATGCAAGTCATAAATGTTCTAGTTTGTACAATTTTGCTTTGCTTTGTGCTTTGCAAAAAAGTACCCTTGAGTATTGCATTGCACTCATCGCTTTTAAAAGTTTTACATTATATTTTTGTTTGGTAGCATGGATCCAATTTGAGTTGTCCCAAAACAGTTTCTTTATTGTTTTATAAAGTTATGTTGTATTATAATCTGGGTTATTGTATTATTTGCTGCTTCCATGCACTATACTTTACCTTGATAGTTCATCTTCAACTTCTTGTTATGTCAATCTTATTACACCATTGAAAGCTATTGTTGCAATTTACATGTTTGTCATTATTTTGCTTATGTTGTTATTTTGCTTGCTGCAATTCTGATTTCTGGTTTCATAAAAAAATCCCACATAGAATGTCAGAAATCTTAATGGTCGAATGGACTCTAAGTTACATCCAAGTAGTTGAACTAGGTTCAACCTGGCGTGATTGGCTTTCACTTGATTGCCCCCTTCTCACTTTCACATGTTTGTGCAAGCCCCTATTCACCTGCATCTTCTTCTATTAACCTTTTTTTGGTCTTGTGATTGAGGGATCTAGTGTAGGTTCATCAACTCTTTTTATGGATTTCAATGAAAACTATGCTATCACGATCCGGTCCGGAGGTTCGAATTAACCAGATGGTAACAGACGGTCTGACAGTTAATATAGTTTTTCAATAACATAAAACTCATAACAAACTAATATCCAACATTAACTGAAGTGACAATGAAACAAAATTTTCTATTTGAACGTATAATAAACCAATTAACCTGCTACTATTTGATCTTCTTCTTTTGTAAATAAACTCTTCTCTTTTAGCCATTTAATTCATAGGAGATTTACCTGACATTTTAATTTAATATTTTAAGTTTTCATAATAATCTTAGTGGATAATTATAGTTTAAATATATATAATCAGTCATGTTCCTTTGTCGTTCTTATTTTCTTTAAAATATACATAAATATTTAATATAAATATAGATTCCTATTTATGTTCCCTTTCAATTAACTTTATTCCAATATGCATGATATTATATTTAAAATTGAAATGAAAAACAAAAGACTGTATTTGCTATATAATAAATATAATCGTCTTTTTCGTTGCTTTCTTGCTGAAATCTTTTTCAAACTTCCACAGTTTTTAAATTGTATCTTTAATGTAACACTGACGGTCATCTACACAATAAAATAAATTTATGCTGAAATTTCATAATTACTTTCAATTATTCCATTTAATTCATTATTTACATTTTAAAATCTTACCTATATTTTCTCATGAATCTATGTCTGGTTCTGCTGCTTTATCGCAATTCAACAATTAAATATTCATCTCTCTTCGAAATGAAACTTTCACCAGTTGGATTCTTTCTATTGGCGATTATATACCATTGTTTCAATTAGAGGAATGAGATTTATACAAAGTTTTTTATCTAAATTTTGAATAAAAAATAATAAATTTAAATTACTTACTCTTCTTTCTCTTCATCCTTCTCTCTATCGCAGTCTTCTCTCGATCACAACCTCTTTCATTCGTGTGGTTCCACTAAAGTGTGCGAATTAGAGTTATCTCACATAAAGAGTCATAGTTTTTCGTACATGATCTCACTAGTTCGCTCGCTCACGCAGTTCATCCACTCATTTGCACGCTCGACTTCGCCCACTTGTGTGCTTGCGTTCGCCCGCGCTTATGCCTGCTAAAGAAAGGATTGGCTCGATTGAACTGGTCTAGCAGGTTCTTACAATCATCCTTAAAAAAATTTCTACCTTGAAACTTAAACTAAAATTAAATAGACATACCTTAATTGAATAAATGTGTATATTAATCTCTCATTTTTTACTCTCTCTCATGTGACATCTCCTTCTAATCAATATTTTCATAAAATCACGACAAATGGTATTTCTCAATTCTTTAATCGCTTCACATCATATTCCATTACTCTTTCAGGCTCTTCTACATATCTCAAATCAAGCTGTAATTTAATTGATTTTGGCAGAATCCTTTTTGACCTATCTGATATATATTTTCAAAGTGTAGATATATGAAAAATATTGTGAATTCCTTGCATATATATATTGACAGATCCAATTTATAAATTATATTTTCAATACTTTCAATGATTTCAAAAGGTCCAACAAATCGTGGGCTCAACTTTCCCGTCTTTTCAAAACTCTGCTCACTTTTCATTGGTCCGACTTTAATAAAAATAAATCGCCAACTTCAAATTCAGCTGGCTCGTGCTTTGCATCATAATATTTTTGTTGTTTATCATGAACGACTTTCAATCTATATCGGATCAATCTTATTTTATTTGTAGCATCTATCAATTCAGTACCAATCACTTTTCTTCCCACTCTCGCTATCCAGCATCAAGGCGTTCTACATTTTCTTTCATAAATAACTTCATATGAGTCATTCCAATACTGGATTGGAAACTATCATTATAAACAAATTCTATTAAATGTAGATGACATTCTCAATTCCTATCAAAATCTAGTACACATAATTGAAGTAAATTCTCCAAAGTCTGAATTATCCTTTCTGATTGCCCATTTGTCTGAAGGTGAAATATAGTGCTAAAAGTCAATCTAGTACCCAAGGCTTTATGAATATTTTTTCATAATCTAGAGGTAAATCTGACATCTCTATCAGAGACTAATTTTGGAACTCCATGCAATCTCACAATTTCATCAACATATATCTTTGCTAATTTTTTATCGAATCAGTC